AAACCAACAACTTCGAACATGAGAACTCTCAACCAATCAAACTGCAAAGCTTAAACACAAGAAAAAGGTGTTACAATGGAAAACTGAGGCCAAAACTCACTTCCACAAACAAAAAGAAAAATATAAGAAAGAAAAATACAAACTGTCCCCAGAAAAAAACAGGCCACACACCATACCTCTAAAATATAAACCACTCCACAACTAATTTTCCACCCACCACTAACATACAAATACTTCAGATTTGAACTTCTTCAAATTTGTTGAACACACAAAAGAAATTAAAAACTAAAATGTCGCACCCACCACTAACAATCAAATGACTTAGCCTATAAAGCAAGAAAAAAAAAATGGCAAAGATGATAACTTTACCTTCTTCAGAAAAGCCTTCTCAACGAATTTCTTCACGAAGACAGACATATAGACAAAAACCGGAGGAACCCAGAACGAAAAGGAGATAACTTGACGAAAAAATATGGATCAAAATCAGTTTTCAGAAGAATGGGGAAAAAGGAAGGCTGTGCTTTAAAATCAGTGAAAATTGTGCGAGGAGAAGTGTATAGAAATGAAGTAGAAGTAATAAAGGCAACGGTTGATTTTACTGATACTGACAGTTTCTTTTTTATTTTAATTTCCAGCTGAGAATTTTTAAAAATGGAAATAAATCGGACAGGTGGGAGAAGTAAAGAGAGGTCGGTCTATTCGGATAGGGACACGTGGAGACTGACAACGCTGATCCGTAGGTTGCGTTAGAGGAAATCAATATTTTTATATACGACTTCTTTTGTCCCTTCCAAGAAAGAAATTTCAATGCCAAATTGCCAATCCATGTTTTTATATCCAACTTTGATAATAAAAAATAAATAAATAAATAAAAAAAAAAAAATGACCCATACTGACCTTCGTATCACCAAATTTATCGGTTCGGTTTCCGCACATCCATTCAATCAATTGAGTTGTATAATTATTTAAAAACATTATATTATTATCTTTCATCATAAATATTTTCCACATAAGTATATAATCCATAACTTTATTAATTTATTCTTGAAAATTAAAATAATATAAATTAATTGGGTCAAAACGAGCTGAGTTGTGGCGGGTCGACTTGGTTTTGATCAAATTGCTCGTTGATCGGTCCGAAATCTCACCAAAATTGAAATTGGATATGAGACGACACGTTAGACCGGTCAGAGTAAAAAAAGAAAAAAAATGTTGCATACTATGCAATAATTCCAATTTCTATTTAGGTGATAATATACCGGACTTGGAAGATCTTGCAATCATAATTGTTTCATCCTTTGTTTTCTAAAAAATTAAAGATTTCTGATTCTGTTTTCAAGAAGCGTAAAATGATAAATAGTGTAATTTCATCTTCTTTGACCATTACAAATGTTATTGGATGATAGTCATGAGAATGTGGAATATTGCATTCATCATGCATGATGCATAACAAAATTGCACACAAACGGTAATAGGGTCGAGTAATTAATATCTCCATCACTAAATCAAATGATATGATCATATTAGGAACTAGTAATCAACCTGTGCATTTGCACAGAGAATAGTACGTTAAAAAGATAATAATATAAAAAAAAATATAAATCATAATTTAATTTATGAAAAAAATATGAATTAAGAAATAATTCTCAAAATTGATTTAATCAAGTAATTGCTATGGAAGAGCCGTTACTACCATTTTCTTTATGCTAATATATCTGGTTATTTTTATGAGTGAGTGTGACTTAAAATTTGAGCACAATTTTATAACTCCCTTGATTGGTTTATGCTCATAATTTATGACATTCAAGCAAGTTATTTTGTAACTTAAAAATGACATTGAATGTTGAAATTTTTTGAGGGATAATAAAATTTAATGCATGATAATATAATTAAATGCTATGTTACTCCTCTTTATATATATATAGATTTTGGAGAGGGAAAACGGTAGATATATAGAGATAATTGTGGGAAGTATCAATAAATCTATATATGTATGATGAGTTAATTTTTTTTTTTTTAATAGATTCAATGTTAAACCGATTAATGTAAAACTAGTACGTAGCCCGTACAATGCACGGGACATAAGTATTAAATGAGTCATTTCCACAGAGTTTGTCCGTTAAGTAGCTCGTGCGATTCACGGGAGATATTAAATGAGTGGACCATAGGGCTTGTCCGTTCAGGCCTGAGAAATAATAGAGTTTGATCATTTATCTTTTTACATCTTTTCATCAACGTCATTTTTTTTTTCAGAACATTAAACCTGAGTCTGGTAACGCAAGCCCGTAAATTAATTAATATATTATCTCGCTCACATGTTTATAATAATATAAATTTGATTTCATTATATATGTATATATATATATATATATATTTATTCCTTGATATAAGAAAAATAACAATTTTACGTAATCTTGTTCCTCGTATAATACTCATATTATTTTATTATAAAATTTATTGTAATATAATTTCATTATTATTATTTATGCAAGTTATAGATGTAGTCTTCTTCTTCTTTTTGTATTATATAATTAAAATATTTAATGTATGTTCATATTATTTATTAATGTAATTAATTTAAATTATGTAAATAAATTTAAAGTAAAACATTTTGTACAAACATTTTACAAAATATACACAAATGTTTTTTTAGAATTTAATTTTTTTTATAATAAATAAACATCTTTGAAATACTATGCAATTATTAAACATCCTTGATATAAATTCGAAATCATAATTGAGTTCTATGCAATTATTGATTCTGTCTGATGTTATGAGAAACAAATCATTCGGAAATGATTATATGTAAGTTGAGATAAAATGAAATGTATCAAAAAAATCTGCTTATGATATTTTTCTTTAAATATTTGAATGACTTTGAAATTCAAATTACAAATCAACCTCCAATTATTCAAATAATTTTAAAAAAGTTATCAATTGTAGTAAAATGTACGTGACAATATATTATAAATATACATGACGTCAGTAATGTTATGAATCTTTAAGTTCCTAAAAGATATATTGTTTAGATATGAAACTAATTAACTTATATGTTAAGTAAATATATATAAATATATGTATTGTACGAAATATACACGTGACAAGTTATTATATTTGTTTATATATTGTTTGCATTGTTTATTATATTTGTATATAAATATATTGTTTATATATTTTTTTTGTATTGTTCGACAAATTATTATATTTGTTTATATATTGTTTAGATATGAAACTAATTAACCTATATGTTAAGATAATATATATAAATATATGTATTGTATGAAATCTTTAACGTGTTTGTTAAATTTTTCTCCTAAAAAATTGAAAATACATTTAGGCATGTTTTGTTTGAAGTTTGAAATATAAATATGCATCTATATAACAAATCCCATGATTTATGCTACTTGATTTTTTATTAAAAAAAATAAAATAATATACTAAAAATGGAATGTAATTAATATTTCCTATTTTTTTGCTTACTATTTTTGAAAAATGTTAATTCTTATTATATATATATATATATATATATATATATATATATATATATATATATATATATATATATATATATATATATATATATATATATATATATATATATATATATATATATATATATATATATATATATATATATATATATATATATATATATATATATATATATATATATATATATATATATATATATATATATATATATATATATATATATATATATATATATATATATATATATATATATATATATATATATATATATATATATATATATATATATATATATATATATATATATATATATATATATATATATATATATATATATATATATATATATATATATATATATATATATATATATATATATATATATATATATATATATATATATATATATATATATATATATATATATATATATATATATATATATAGATATAGATTAGTGGACTAAAGATCACTTACATGTGAGCCGTCAAAGCCGCTAATTTATTTGGTAATAGCTTATTTCATTAGCTTTTTTTAGTCTAAAATGCTAACTCTGAAAATGCTTAATATTCGAATTGTTTTGTGTAGAGAGGATTCATAAAGTAACTCGACAATATAACATATGCAAAATAATTGTACAAACCACTATTTACGAAACATTCATTTCACAAACTTCTAATACAATCTCGGTGAAAGGATTGAAGATTGAAGGTTTAGTTCTAGCATTAGATATAAAAAATTCTATTCCGATAATCAATTTAAATTAAACCAAACACATCATAGTTGATCAAAGTCAAATAACACAAGCAATTCCATAGAAATAGCAAAATAATCAATCAACGTAAATAATTAATCATAGCCAAATACGTAATGTTCGACATCCTCGAAACGAGAAATAAAAACTACTCTAACATATTAAATAAATAAAGAAAGATAAGAATATAATTATTCTCTTCGTGTACAGATGTGGTATCCCTCCACGTCCACCGGCTTCCTCTTATCTGTCTCTCTTCTCTGTTTGTGTATGGCTGTGTGCCTTCTCTTTATATGCGGCTTGTCTATTTTTCAGTTCTCCTCCAAGCGGCTACGTGTATTCAACTATGATGCGTCCTTTTTTTCTTTAATTTGGTGGCTGCGTGAGTTTTGTTTTCTTGCCCTCTGTACATGGACTCCACAACAAACTAATTAACCTCCAAAATTAGGTCCATCTATAGTCTAGTACTAGTAAATCAGCTTTTGGGCCATATTTGTGCACTCTTCTCATGGTTGCATATGATCGTTCTGGCTGTTAAATAAGCCCCCAAGTGGGTCCTACTCAAAATTAACTTAGGCTCAAGTTATGTGGCCTATATTGGGCCAAGTTCGAGGAACCCCCATACTGCGTCGGTGAAATTCCGTTTAATGTTTCGTCGTCCGTGAAAATACTCTAATAGTCTGAAAATAAACCATATATATGTATCATACCATAAGAACACATCTAAAAAATAAATAAGTCGAAAAATATATAAGTGCGACAAAATTAAGCATATAAAAATACGCTATTAAAGCTATAAAATACACACTTTTTTCGACCAATTAGTATATCTACACAAGCTCGAGTAACGAGCTACGTAGTTCCTCAAGGACTCATTCTCTTCCTGCTGCATCGCCATTAGCATGTGGTAGGTTTTTTCATGAGCCCTGTCATTAGCGAACTGGTTGAAAAATATGGTTGAGAACTCCTCAAAGGCCCTTTGCTGACCGAGGAGCTATATGGTGAAACCAGGCTTGAGCCTCTCCCTTTAAGGTTACAAGAAGGATCCACACCGCAAAACATTGATGTACATGTGTAATACTTCCATGATCTTAGAACTTCTCAAGTGGCGAGCTGCATCGGCAAACCCATCGTACGTAATTCTGAGTTTGTGAAAAGCACTCGACAATTTGGCTTCCAACACTTTTCTAGCAGAAGGGTGCTCCCTAATGTCCCTTCTAGGGAATTTTATGAGGTTGGAATAATCAGTATGGTTGTCGTGCTCAGTGTACCATCCAACTGACCGATTGGAGGGTTGGTCATGACTGCTGATGTTGGGGTGGTCCCAATCCCTTGCAGGTTGAGAATTGGGGTAACGGTCGTCAAGATGAACCTTGAAAATCCCAACGGTGGTCCCATCTCTAGTGGCGATTTGTAGCCCAAGCTTCGGCAAAATTGGTTTCTAAGTTTTTTTGT